TCCAGCACATGCTACAGCCCCAAGCTGGTCACAGCCCCTTCCAAGAGGATCTAGTGAGTCCCAGGAGCGAGGCAGAGGCAACGTCACCCTGGTGCCACCCAGCTCCCATCCTGCCATGGGTGGGAGCAGGACACACTCCCCCCTCCCTGTGGCAGAGCCTCTCAGGACCAGTGCTTTCCATCAGCCTCCTGACAACGGAGCCAACTGCATCCCACCATGTTTCTGACCAGCTTCAACCACACTGACCTACCACAGGCACAGACTCAAGCCTCTGTCCAGCAGCTAAGGCCACATTCATCCCCCTGGGGCACGTGGCAGCTTAGTCAGGTTTCATGAAAGGCAAATACTATGGGAAGGAACAAGAGGCTATAGAGATGGTTTTGGCCACTGGACAACGTGACAGCCATGAGACAGGAGGTGGACTGTAACCAGGGTGGTGCAATATGCTCCAGCTCTTTGAGGCTGTCTCAGAGGGAGAGCTCTGCTCCCCCTGCTGCTTCAGAGCCACACAGCCCACAGGAATCCTCTGGTGAACTCATCTCAGCTCTGCCCTGATCACAGGAGGAATTCCTGCCCCACACCAGCCACGTCTCCAGAAGCTACCAAAGCTCTTCAGACCAGAATCCCTCCTCCCAAGGAGGGGCTCCAGGGATCTCAGACCCAAACCACAGCCTGGACGAGCAGCCTGACTGAATTAACCTGGGCTTGAGGGATGGTCCAGACCCAAAGGCAGCAGCACCTACACAGCCAGGGGCTGGAGGGGTTCCATACCTGCATGTTAAACCTGAAGGCTCGGTTGGCCTCTTCCACGACCCTTTCCTTGATGTTCTTGTCCAAATCTAGAGCATTCATCCTCGCTCTGTAGAGCTGCTTGAACTGCTGAGCGTTGGAAATGTTGTCAAACACGTAGAATTGGATCCCTTCCTCAGTGCTGGGCAGCTTCAGGGCCCTCTGGGCTACCTTCTTCAGCACTTGGCCACCTGAGAGGTCCCCCATGTAGCGTGTGTAAGCATGAGCCACTAGCAGCTCTGGCTCATGCTGTCCCACGTGATGGATTCTGTCCACGTATTGCTGAGTTGCTTCTGAGCACTGGATCTTCTCTTCCCAGTCTTCTCCATAGAAATATTTCAGGTCTTTGACCAAGGCCTCTCTCCGGTGAAGCTCCAGGGGGAAGTAGAGAGGAGCAAAGACTGGGTTGTCCTTGTTGCGATCCATCTCCTCCTCCAGGGCAGAGTAGGTGAAGTAAAGTGCCACGGTGGCCAGCTGTGGAGAAAGCACAGCTGAGGGGAGAGGCTGCTCCCTGGATCACACAGCACCCCCTGTGACTGCACCCCCCCGGGGGGCTCCAGGAGTGCCCCTGCAGAGCTGCAGCAGGCAGCAGTTGCAGATCAGAGGCTCTTCTCTACCTGTGCTCACAACAATGTCCCCTACAGAGCAGGAGCCAAGAATCAGCCATATTGCCAGCTGTGTGCTCGGGGCCTCCTGCCACCTTGAGAGCAAGGCACAGGGACTTAGAACCACAGAATTGTTTGGGTTGGAAGAGACCTTTAAGAGCATTGAGTTCAACCCTTCCCCCAGCACTGCCAGGTCCCCACTGCCCCGTGTCCCTCACACCACATCTCCAGGGCTTGGAAACCCCTCCAGGGGTGGGGACTCCACCACTGCCCTGGGCAGCCTGGCACAGCCCTGGGCAACCCTCCAGGGCAAGAAATTGTTCCTCAGGGACAACTGAAACCTCCCCTGGGGCAGCTTGAGGCCGTTTCCTCTTGTCCTGTCCCTTGTTCCTTGGGAGAAGAGCCCGACCCCCCCCTGGCTCCAGGCTCCTGTCAGGAGCTGTGCAGAGCCAGAAGGTCTCCCCTGAGCCTCCTTTGCTCCAGGCTAACTTCCACCAAAAGGGACATGCAGCACCAACAGCCTCGTGCCATGGGACACTACTGGATATGCCAAGACCTCCTGGATCAGACAGTGCTGCTCAGATCCAAAACAGAACAGAAAGCAATCTGACCTGAAGTCTGTGGGAAACAGCCTAGTCTTCACAGGATGGATTAGTGCTGTAATCCCACCAGGATTTCACTCCTGAACAGCTCACATCACCAGGATCTGTGCTGCAGCTGCACCTGCACCTGGTGGCCACCAGATCTGTGGCCAGAAGCCCAGCACTTCCACCTCAGCAAACCTGTGCTGGGCCACCACGTCCCTCATCCCCTGGGCCCAGCTGGAGGGTACAGCAGGCAGGAGGCCCAGGCAAGTGTCCTCCTGTAGTTCTGGCTGTGCCACCTAGGACCTGGGTTCCTCCTCACCCCCTACACACCGAGGTTCTGCCTCAGTCTGTTGCAGTCCCTGGCTATGTCAAAGAGCACTCACCTTGAAGAGCTCCTTCTTGATCCGTCCCTTCAGGAAGTCTTTGACGAACTGGGTGTTCTCTGCACGGTCGTGAGAGTCCTTGGTCCCCTCCTTCAGCAGCTCTGAGAGGTCACTGGGGCTGCAGGAAAACAGGGAGAGCTCCTCTCACCACCCAGCTTCCACACCAGGGACACAGTCCCTGCTGGGCTTGGGGCGATTCCCCCAGCCCCTGCCACCTCGGGCTCAGTTTGGTGAAGGTACCAGGTGGGATCACCAGCAGGAGGAAGCAGCAGGGTGGCAGCAGCCAGAGGTTCCCCCACACATGTGGGCTTGCCATGCTGGGAGGGCTGGGGCTTCCCAGGGGCTCAGACCCACGGTGCTGGAGCAGTCACCAAGGATTCTCTGATCCCTGCACCATTACTTCTACTTCTCACCCACACGAGCCCAAACTATACTCCAAAAGGAGGCCTTGAGCATATGGAGAGCAACTATGGGGGCAGGCTACAGGGCACAGGAGCCTTGGTGGTGTCCTCAGTCACTCCAGAGAAGGAGAAAGGCTCAGGTAAGAGCAGAGGCACACACAGGCAGCACCCTCGCCTCGCTGACTTGGATGTCAACTGCAGGAGAGGAGATGAGAGCCAAATGGAAAAAAAAACATCCTTAAAATGTTTGTGTCTCCTGGATCACACTGGTTTTGCAGGTTTCTGCAAGTCATCTTTCTAAACAAATCTGATTTAACCATTGATTTACAGCCATTGCACCTACCTGGAGTTTGGTACAGAGTTATCAACAGCTACACTCAAAATTATGCCAAAGTTAAGTGCACCTTAACAGTTTTATGACTCATTTTCTCCAGACAGCACGTTTGGGTTGGCTGTAAGAGAGACTTTGAACACTCCAGACCCGCTGCGTGGCTGAACGCTGCAGCTGATGGGCCAGGCAAGGCCTGGCTGTGCCAGCAGAGCCAGGGACCAGGAACTCATCCAGCTGAGCCCACCAAGCCAAGGAGAGGGCAACCAGCCGACCTAGGTATCCTGGGAAGCACCCTAACCACCCTGCCCCTTGCCAAATCTGAAGCCTTGCCTTTTGGAGCATTTGTGAATTAGCTTTTCAAACTAACCTCTAAGAAAAGACCCTTGCCTAGAGCAGCAGCTGTTCTGCAGAGGCAAGAGAGGCAGCTTGCTGGAGCAGAGTTCACCTCCAGAGTCATCTTTCAAAACAAGAAGCTGCTGTCACATGAGCCTGCCCAGCAAGCCATGGAAAACCAGCTCACCTTGGCCAGGAAGGCACAAACAACTGCCAAATGGCCAAAGTGTTTCTCAAATGTGTGTTTGATAGTAGAGACTGAAATGAATAACTGCTTGTTGTCAGCCTTACCCAGATTGCTCCTTCCCAGCCTTCCACCCTTCCTGTCATCTGTTTGATTCAACAGATTTTACTGCACACGTTTGATTAAGCACCTACTGAGTTCCTCAGCCCTCCCCAGATGAGGAGAAAGGTCACTCCTTGAGCTGGGAGGTCTCCTGCCTTGCCCCAGGCTGTGCCTGTGCCACGTTGTGACAGGACTCACCTGACATTGTCATCTTCTGTCTCCTCGTAGCGCAGGAGTTCCCCTTCTTCTGCCCCCTCGGAGCCCTCCATGGCAGATGGCATTGCTGCTCAGCTGGAGACCAGACACCCTGAAAGGCAAAAGTGGAGAGGGGCTTAGGGGGAAGCTGCCTTCCAAAAGGGATGGGAGGAACTGCTGAGCAGTCTGGCAAGGAGCCTCAGAGCTGCCCCACCACGCAGGGTGGTGAGGAGCAGCCGCTGGCCTCTTCCCTGCACACCAGCTGCTTTCAGGGAGAAGCTTTCAGACCTGCTCAGCTCAGGCAAGGAGAAACTCAGCACTAACACCCACCTCACAACCCCCACCCCCGAGGAGGCCTGCAGCACAGCAGGCAGCCTGCCCTGGGGCTCCCACTCCAGGGTGGCTCCTGGCTGGAGATGATCAGACCTGCACTGCAGTGGTGAGCAAGCTGCTCCTGCCAGGCACCTCACCCACTGTCAGACTCTGAGCAGAGCACCTGGAAGGGAAGCACCCTTCCCTCACCCAGAAGGAATAAGCAGAACCTCCCCTGGAGAAGGCAGCAGTGAACTAGGCTGGCTAAGCTCTGAAGTCAGGCAGCTCAGAGGGGAAACAAAAGCCTTCCCTGTGACAGAGTATATGGAGAGGAACCTCCAAAGCAGGGGCACATTTCACTGCCCTGCCTCCCCTGGGCTGTGCTCCCAGAGTCAAAGCAGCTGCTCCTGCTCCCACACTCCTCTCCTGCCCAGCAGGGCTTACTCCAAACCCCAGCAGGAACCAGCTTCTTCCTCCTCTCTTGCAAAAGCTCTCCTTGGATGGAGCAGGATGCACAAGACTTGCCCAGAAGCTGGGGCAACACCCCTGTCTCATGTTAGTTGAGCCCCAAATCCAGCCACCTCATTGATAAAATGGATCTGTAATCACCCCTTGTGCCCCCCAGCTCCAGTGGGGTCCCCTCTGGCAGAGCCTCACTGCTCAGCCCGTGCCCAGGGGCTGGGAGAAGAGCAGAGAGCCCCATGAGCTCACCCAGGTCCCTGCTCACCCCAAGCACCCCAGGGACAACTGAACTGCCCCCTGGTTTTGCAGCCACTCTCGGGGCGATGGGAGCTGGACCTGCTCAGAGAGGTTTAGGGTGGGGTGATGCAGCCAGGGCAGAAGGGCAGCCCCAGGGCTCAGGGGTGAGGAAACCAGGGCCAGGTGAGCACTGACCCCTCACTGGACAGCAAGCATGATCACATGGGGCCACCAGACAGGACCTACCTTCACTCCTCCCACCACTTCAGCTCCCAGCACTGGGAAACACCCACCATGGGAAAGGAAATGAAGGCAAAGAGGGAAATCACCTCCCCAGGCTCAGCCAGGAGCCCATGACAGGCACAGGGGAACAGCCCCTTCCCCACAGCACACCAGCCTCCAGCCCATACAGATGCACCAGTTCCAACACCACCCTGGCTCCCTGCAGGCCAGGCTCTTCTCCACAAAGGCAGATTCCCAAATTAAACTAGCTGAACTGGTTCCAATTTGTGTCACACTTCCAGAACGTCGGGTGTGCTGCCTGCAGGCTGCCAGCCCTGCCACTGTCAGCAGGGGAGGGCAGAGCTGCTCAGAGCACTGCAGCACCACTCAGCCCTTGGAACAGCCCTGAAGGTCGACGTTAAACCCAGCCCAAAGGAGGACACTAGCTCAAGCCTCAGAAACCAGCAGTTAACAGCAGCAATGGTTTGAGACTCCCAAGAGCCAGACACACCCCAGTACAGCTCCTGAGATCCTGAGAGCACACAGCAAGGCTGCTGCCTACTCCTCACACCCTCCACACCCACGTGTCCCAGCACACTCGTGTTCAGCAGCACTCACCCACACCAGACCTTTGCTCTCCACGCTACACAACAAGCACCTGATGGGGTCTCAGAACCCTTCCTCCAAGCCTGCTGCTAGTGTTGTAGAAGCACAGCCCACCAGAACAGCCAGTGATTGTTCCAGTAGCACTGCTGGCTGTGGGCAGGAGGGGTCAGCACGCAGAGTCCTAGAAGGACCTTGGTGCACTGTCAGGCTTCTATCTCCCATGGCTCTTCTTGCAGAGGCTCAGCCTGACATGCCCATCTCCACAGCAACACGCAGGGCTGTGAGGACACCAGTCCCCTTAGCCTGAGGTGAGAACAGTCCATGTGCTGGAAAAGAGGGAAGTTCAGATTTTTCCTGCCATCTCTGGTACAGACCTCTCCCTGATGAGCCATGAAGTCAGGAGATGAGCCAGGACAACTCAACCTCTGTCCTTTTCAGTGCTAGGATACTGCAGGAGAAGCAGGAGGAAGGGAGTGGGAACCACCTGCACCACCACACCACACCTCACTGCTTTGACTCAACAACTGGCCACTGAAAGCCCACAACAGGGTCCAAGCCCTGGCTTCTCGGGGAGCTCTGCTCCTCTGGAAGAGGCAGTGTCCTACCCACCAAGAGGGAGGCTCAAGCAGCTGCCTGCCTCCACTGCAGAGGCTGGAATGTCATTCCAATTGCTACCAGGAGCTCTGCTCATCAGGCCCCTGGCTGAGGTCCAGGGTAAACACATACCTCCTCAGCAGCCTGCCTGGGAGAAACCCAACGGCTACAAGCGCTGGGATAGCAGAGAGGAGGTCTGGCACACAACACCTCAGCACACCAAACACTTCTTTCCCAATCACAGCGTTCAAACCCTCTGAGAAAACACCCCTATCTCATCCAGCCAGCCATTAGTTGGCCCCTACACACATTTCCACAGCAAGCTTTACACTCAGGATGCACAGCTCTTCTCAGCCTAGGGAGACACTTCATCCCAGCAATCCCTGTGTTTGGAGGGAAGCACGACTGGAAGTCCTGGCTTTGCTTGGGCACCCGCAGGAGAAGTTCAATAATTCACCAACACCCCGGCAGTACAGAGTCCACGTTTGCTGTTCAGCCAGCGCCAAGCTCCGAGGTGTTCCCCCCGCAGAGCTCCGTCCCGGCTTTACCGGGCAGCACCCGGCGCTGTGAGGCGCCAGCAGGACAGCTCCAGCTCCCCGCAACGGCGAGCAGGGACAAGGAGAAGCCTCAGAGGCCTTTGTCCTCCCAGCCCTCCCCGAGCTCAGCGGGTCCGAGGAAAGGCAGTTGCCGCACGCCACCGGGAGACCCCAGCGCAGGACCGGGTGTTTCCCGCCCCGCAGCACTCGGGCAGGGCCGGTGGC